AAGTGGTTTTTCTAAAGCACACATCTCATCATGTCACTCCACCCCAACTCTCCCAATAAACTCCAATGGCTTCCAATTGCCTCCAAGATAAAATACAAAATGACATTTACAGCCCTTCATAACCTAGCCCCCTCCTATCTTTCTAGTCTTCTTATACCTTACTCCCTCAACATGACTCTTTGATCCAGTGACATTGGCCTCCTGGCTGCTCCACAAACAAAACACTTCATCTCTTAGTACTATACATTTTCTCTGGCTACCCCCAATCCCTGAAATGTCCTCCCTCCTCTACGCCACCTAATGACTTCCTTGTTTAGTCGTTTCCAGTCACGTCTGACTCTTTGTGACCCCGTTAGGGGTTTTCTTTTCAATTTTTTTTTTTCATTTGGGGTTTTCTTGGCAAAGATACTGGAGTGGTTTGCCATTTCCTTCTCTAGCTCATTTTGCAGATGAGAAAACTGAAGCAAACAGGGTTAAGTGACTTGCCCAGGGTCACACAGCTAGTATGTGTCTGAGGCTAGATTTTTTTTTTAAGTGAGGCAATTGGGGTTAAGTGACTTGCCCAGAGTCACACAGCTGGTGAGTTTTTATGTATCTGAGGCCGTATTTGAACTCAGGTCCTCCTGACTTCAGAGCCGGTACTCTATCTACTGCACCACCTAGCTGCCCCAAGGCTAGATTTGAACTCAGGAAGAAGAGTCTTCCTGACTCCAGGCCTGGTAACTCTACTGTGCTGCCTAGCTTCATGCTGTCTCTCCCCCATTAGACTGTTAGCTCCTGGAGGACAGGGACTATCTTTTGCCTCTTTTTGTATCCGCAGTGTGTACTACAGTGCCTGGCTCATAGCAGTTGCTTAATCAGTGTTGACTCAGGTGGCTATCTTTAAATATCTGAAGGGATGTCACATAGAAAATGGGTTAGAATTGCTCCACTTGATCCCAGTTGGCAAAGTCAGGATCAAGGCAGAAGTTGCAAAGAGGCAAGTTCAGGCTTGATGCAGGAAAATGCCTGAACAACTGTTCAGGTACAGAAGCAGAGTAAGCACTCGGGAAGCTGAGGCTGTCCCTCCCTACAAGTCTTAAAAACAGAGGTTCATTCACTACTTGTAGGGTACGTACACAGGGACTCCTTTGAGGCATGGGTTGGACTGGAGACTCCTAAAGTCCATCCCCCCACATACATGTGACGCAGGAGTAAGCTCAGGTGGAAAAGAGGAAGGGGAGAGCAAAGCAGCAACAGAAAAGGAAGCAGCCCATGCAAAGGAGGCTCCAGGGAACCGAGGTAACTGAGGGCTCCCCAATCTGATCGTTTGCCTTACAGGATGGAGCTGATCCAAGGTGTCTTCCGGACACCCCTGGTGTCTGTGAAGGGTATTCCACTCATCAAGTACTTTGCTGAGAGTATTGAACCGCTGAAGGATCTTCAGGTCTGGCCTGATGATGTCCTCATCAGCACCTACCCCAAGTCTGGTGAGTAAACCCCACCTGGCCCAATGCTAATGACCCTCCAGAGCCACAGCTTCCTGCCCCCTCCCTTCTCAGCTCTCTTAGCATTTGGGCGTCATTCATGACTTTAGCCCTCTAGTACCTGTCACCTCTCTACAATGCAGAGGTCTACTCCCTTGCTTCTGATATAGCCAAGAACTTCTATTCCCCCTCACTTCACAATCTCATTGCAGGAACAACCTGGGTGAGCGAGATCCTCGATATGATCTACCAGGGGGGTGACTGGGAGAAATGCCAACGGGCTCCAATCTTCATCCGGGTGCCATTTCTTGAATTCAAGGCCCCAGGAATCCCCTCAGGTAACTAAGCCACTAGTGGGGTGGAAGGCAGGAAGGCTAAAGAAGCAAGAAAAATTAAGGAATGGGAACTTAAGGAAGTTGAAGAGACAGAAGATGTACTGGAGGAGGTAAGGAGGTGGAAAAGAGGCAGGACAAATGGGATAAGGCGTAATGCTTGTATTGTTGGCTGAATCAAGAAAAGTTTTGAGAAACTATGTTCCCAACTGTCTCTGCCAACTCCACCCGTTCTCTGCCTTAGGCCTGGAGACTCTAAAGGAAATGCCTGCACCTCGACTAATCAAGACCCACCTGCCTCTGTCCCTGCTCCCCCAGACTCTGCTGGATCAGAAGGTCAAGGTAAATGGGTGAAGAGACAAGGTACAACGAAGGAAGCAGGGAGTTCCCAATCATGCCAGACTCTCAGGGATAGGAGGAAAGTGGGTGCTGAAGAGAATTCTACACACCAACCAGAGACACTTCTTCCAAGTCATTTTTGGGTTTTTTGTTTCATTTTGTTTGGGGGGGAAGGGGAGAAAGGATTTGATTATCAATCTGTTTAGTGTAAGAACACTCAGGACCAACAGGGAATGCCAGAAAAAAACAAATCCCTACTCCTGATCAGGTCATGTGAGACCTTCTCTTCCCTACTCCAGATCATCTATATGGCAAGAAATGCCAAGGATGTGGCAGTCTCCTATTTCAACTTCTATAAGATGGCAAAGGTACACCCTGACCCTGGGACCTGGGAGGAGTTCCTGGAGAAATTTATGACTGGGGAAGGTAAGGTATGATTCAGTGGGGAGTCAGAATGAAGGTGCTTAAAAGGACGGTGTGGACAAAGGAGCAGAAGGGCGCCAGGTTTTAGTTTTTCTTCTTCCTCTAATCAGTTAGCTACGGCTCCTGGTACCAGCACGTACAGGAATGGTGGGAGTTGAGGAATCGGCAGCCAGTTCTCTACCTCTTCTATGAAGACATGAAGCAGGTAAGACTTTCCCCACCTTTCTAAGTAATATCTTCCATTCCCTGCTAACATCTGCAGGAAAAGATTTCTTACCAGGAAATCCTGAGCCTACACCCTCCTATCCTTGTCCCCACACCTTTACAAACTATCAAACTGCAGATACTAAGAGATAAAGCTGGGCACAAGAAGAGAACCTTCTATACACTTCTCACATTGCCACGACCCTTCCTGCCAAAGAAGACCATTCCAAGGTTTCTGTCTTAGGTCTTCATCCAGTAACTCTATTTCAATCATTTTCAACCCCTGCCTTCTCCAAAACACTGTCTAACCAAAGGTCAGGGAGCTTGTTATAGCTCAAATCTAGAATAGACTAATGTTGAGACTGGCTTGCTAAATATTGATATTAGCCAGCATGGACTACTAAAGTGGACAACCCCAATGTTCTAGTCCTTCGTCAGAATTAGGTTGTGAAATATTTTTGTGTGTCAATGACTCTTGGGCAGTCTGGTGCAGCCCACAGACTTCCCAGAATGATATTTTTAAATAACTGAAATGCTTGATTTCAGTTAGAGGTTGGTAGAAATAAAGATTAATTTTTTTCCCCATCCAAGTTTATGGGGCCCCTGAATTGTATCCAATTCAGATCCCAATTCAGATCTACAGATCCCTCGAGTGTCTGTAGACCTCAGGTGAGAAACCATGCTAAAGATCAGGAATAAAGGATAAAAGATCAATGCTCTGAGTAGTCTGATTTTAGCTCTGGTCGTACTCTAACATTACAGGTGAGACAGTACAGTAGAGTAGAGAGAGAAGATCTTTGAGTCAGGGAACCAGGCTCAAACCCCACCTCTGATGCTTACTACCTGTGTGATATTGGGCAAGTCACTTACTTCCCTTATCCTCAGTTTCCCAATCTGTAAAATGAAGGGAAAGTTTGACCATGCCTCTGAGGACCTTTCCAGCTCTAGTCACAATCCTATGACCCCTACCTGGGTTCTCCAACATTCCCCCCTCAAATTCTCCTTCAACTGTCACCATTCTCCAGGATCCCAAGAGGGAAATTCAGAAGATCATAGAATTTGTGGGACGGCCACTGCCAGAGTATATCCTAGACCGAATTGTCCAACACACGTCTTTCAAGAAGATGCAGGAGAACCCCATGACCAACTATACCACCGCCCCCACTGAAGTCATGGACCACTCAATTTCTCCCTTCATGAGGAAGGGTAAGCTCTATGAAAGGGAGGGGCCGATGTATTGAAATCAAATAGAAGCTAGGGTTCCAAGAGAGGCCCTCTTGGCATACAGTTAGCAGACAGGCAAGTGATTACAAGAATAGAGGGTGGGAGGGCCAGAGAGAAGATTCCAGAGCCAAGCAGCTTGGGAAAGGGCAGTGGAAACCCACATCTATCACTCCCTGTCAAGCTAGACATGTGTAAAGTCTAACGCAGAAGAAAGTAGCTTTCACTCATGGTATGAGCACTCTCTCTTAGGTGCTACTGGAGACTGGAAGAACATCTTCACTGTAGCCCAGAATGAGAGATTTGATGCCGACTATGAAAGGAAGATGGCTGGCTCAGACCTTCACTTTCACACTGAGCTCTGAATGGCAACAGGAAGAGAGGATCACCAACCCATACCTCTGTATCAGCCTCCAATTTTTCCAGTCTTCTAATAATCTTTTTCAGCATGCAAAATTAGCGCACCTATATTCTAATAGGAAAAAAATCTAACTCACTCTTAGTGTTACAAAGGGTTTATTCCGCTCAGCTATTGTAAACATGGTTTCAGTCTAAAAAATAAAATGATTTACACCCTAATTCATGAGTCACCCTTAGAACCAAAGGATAGCACACACAGTTCCCAGTTCTCACCTGGGGAAGGGACTGAAGTCTGAGGAAATTAGGCCCTGGAAACAGATGATGTGGGGGACATGGCTGTATATTTATTTGTCCACAGAGAATGATACATTAATTCCCCACTTCAAAGGGCATGGCAGAAAAGTCAGGTAAACAAAGACAAGGTAATAGAACTCCACGATTCAGCCAAACTGAACCTCACTTCTTCTTGGGTTCCTTGCAGGCCACAACATACCTCTGGGCCACGTTGAGGGGAGGAGAGTAGCCATCTGCATAGGAGGTATCTTCAAACAGGACAGAGTAATCTTCCTGGGGCTAGAGACAAGGAAATAGAGTTAAGAAGAATCAGAAAGCCCAAGGCTGACAGTGACCACCAAGTGGTCATTATATACTTCTATCTGCCTGCTGCCCCAACTTGGGTATTGGGGAAGCTAGCACATTCTGAGAAAATACCTTTCCCAGAAAACTCAAGAGCCATCTTCTATCATTTGACACTCCCCATAATCAAGAAAGTCCTACCATCTAGTCTCTATCCCCATTAGAACACCTGTTGATCAAAGACAGAGAGGGTTTTGCCTGTCTTTGTAGCCCCTGGATTTTAGCAGCGTCTGGCACACTTGTTGCACTCCCCTGTTTCAATTTCATTTTGTTCTGTCCTCAGGGAAAATGGACAACAATGGAAGGAAAGGTGTCTGCCACAGGAGCAGGAGTGAGAAAACGCTTTCCACTGTACTAGTCAGCTCACCCCAGAGTAGTCTGTTCAGACCTAAGAACTCTAACTTCACTCAGCTACGTGTCCATTTAGAAGAGGGTGACCAAGACGGAGAGGGGTCTAAAAGCTAAGCAGTGTGAGTAAAGATTAGAGGAGCTAGCAACATGTTTAAGCTGAAGAAGAGAAGACTAAGGAGAGGGGGATGAGGATGAAGAGGGAGGACACGATAACTGTCTTCAAATATCTAAAAGTTCAACATTTTGGGCGAGAAAGTACACTCATTCCACGTGGTTCTAGCAGGCAGAACTGAGACTGATATGAGTTTCAAGGACACAGACTTGGGCTTAATATATGGAAGAACTTTACAACAATTAGAGCTTTTAAATGATGGCATAGATTGTCTAGCTAGCAAAATAAAAGTTCACTTGTCACTAGAATTTTATTCAATTCAACAAACATTTTGAAAGGCACTATGCTAAATGCTGGGAAAAAAATAAGAGCTGTTATTTAACAGAACTTTAAGGTCTGCAAAACACTTTATTTGCATTGTTTCATTTGACCCTTCAACAACTCTGTGCAGTTGGTACTATATGTATTATCCTCAGTTTACAGATGAGGAAACTGAGGCTCAGATAAAGAGGCTATGCCCAGCTTCACAGAGTTACACAAGTCTCAAGGCCTTCCCTGTAACCACTTCCAGCACACTTTCTAAACGTGTCCAAGCACAAGACAGGTAATCATTTATCAGGGATGCTGACACAAAGGGATTCCTGCACTGGGTAGGATACGGGACTAAAGGACCACCCCTCCAAGGTCCCTTCCAACTCTGAGATTCTATAAGAAGTCAAAGGTTGTGTATAAAAATGATCGAGAAGGCATGGTGACTCCATCAATTCAGTCAAGACAAAGTAAGAAAGACCAACACATGAAGGTTCTCTCCATTCTTTTATCCTTTCAGAAATCTTAAACTTGAGAACCAACCAATGCAACCTCTTACACTTACAACTGAAGAGTTCTCAGCCTCAGGTCATCATTCCTTACCCGCTGTGGGGGAGTGTGAATCAAAGCCCGGTAGAAGCAAGTGGTTTGGGGGTACAATGCCAGAACAAGCTGATCCTTCTGGAATAAAGCTTCAGGGTCTGTCTCAGGATTGGCCTTCCATTGTGGTAGTGGGATGATACGTCTTCGGCTCAAGGTGTGTCTCCTGGTAGGGGAAAGACTGTAAGCACAACCCTCTGCCCTGAAAATCCACAAGAACTATTTCCCAGAAAGCATTTTCTCTATTTTCATTCTTCCAGGACCCACACTCATTGCTTTTTGCCTTCATCCCACACCCCCTTCTCCTCTCCTCTGTAGTCATCCCTTCAGTAGGACACTTACTCTTTGCCTTCCTCATCAATATCATCCACCTCATATCTACAGGGGGAAAAAAAAGAATAAATCTCTGATTTAGTTATTCTCCAGAAGACATCTGAGGATGACAATGAAATAATGAGGCAGAAAAGTCTGTGAGTTGAGGAGGCTAATACTAAACAAGACAAACTCAAAAAGAGAAAGGAAACAAAAATTCTAGAAGACAAAACATTTTTTACTTACTTGTTGGTGGCATGACTATAACTGACCACTTCTGCCAGAATCCACTGCTCATCTCCATCCACAGCTTTTACTCGAGCAGCCACCTTATCACCTGGTTTGGCTACGTAGTCCCCTGAAGCTGGAATGGCCCCACACAGGGGTGGAGGCCTATGGGGCGGAAAAGCCTTGTTAACAAATCCCTGCCTCAGAAGCACTTCTCCCTGACTACAATATTCCAGGCTCCCCCACAGATCTACTTTGGAGATCTCCAACTGAACCCACATCTCTATATCTTTAAAGTACTCCTTTAAGGAGATCTCCACTCTCACCCTCAATCTCCTGAATTCTCTAAGACTCCAAACCAACACCGTCTAGTCAAATCCTGCCTTACCTCCTTTCCCCAGGACCCCTACACTTACTTGTCCCCAGGTTTCCCAATCCACAGAGGCAATGTCATGGCTGACTGTTGCAACAAGGTCATCAGCACCCCTCGGCGCATGGTTTTCCGTGGAGGTTCTGAATCATTGTACAATCCTGCGATTTTAGCCGCTGTGGGAGTGGAGAAAAGAAGTGAAGCCCTCCCATACTAAATGGCAAGAAATATTATGGTCTTCTCTCCTTCCCACCCTCCTCTGCCAGATTTTATTCACAAGACTGTACTTAGGTTTTTAAGTTTAATTTCTTCTCTAGTCTGAGCCACTGGCCCCTAATCCCAAAGTCTTGCATACTCTCAATGGAAAAAACAGTGGGAATGGGAAAAGAACATTCCTTTGGTATTCCAGCTCCGCCCCACCCCCTCAATTCTACCACAGAGAGATCTGTCCTTTTCTGTTTCCATCCCCTCAAGTCCAGGATCCTGAAAGCTTCTTTTGTGTCTATCCCATAGCCCAATGTCTGGCATACAATAAGCATTTAATAAATGCTTGATTGACTGAAAACTAAAGAAACTATTAAATAGAAGGCTCCAGGAACCCATCAGAGGGCTGAAAACAATTCAAAATATGAAGAACTATTTTTACTAAATATATGAACACGTGATTGCATAAGAACAAGAAAACCAATAGGAAATCCAGCCCATGGCATCTCTTCAGATCACTTTCATCAGCAGCATCACTGAGGGGACACAAACTGGGGGACTGGTTCAACACCGATTTTAACACTGCAGGACTTGTTTATAAATACATCTACAGGACAGCCTTGATAGTGTAATGCTTGCTAAAGCTTTTATTTGTATACCAATAACCACACAAAAGGGGGACAAGAGCTCTAGTTGCCTACAGGAAAATGTGGTAAGCAGAGTGTGAAGAATGTACAGCAAGCAGTAAAAAGATACCAGAAAACCTGAGAAAAGTACTGTACTCAACCTCCCACCAAAAGTGAAAATCACAGCAACCCTCCCTCAAAGGACAGGGTGCCCAGGGTTGCAGAGGAGCAGGCAAACACAGCCCCATCCTCCGGTGTGCCTCTTTCCCCATTGCACAGAGCAAGGTCCCTCCGACTCACCGATGCGCCTTTCTTCCAACAGAGTCTTGATCTCAGCAATCTTATCCAGAGCTCTGCGAAGTATACTGAAGAAGGGAAACAGAGAAGTAAAAACAAACTTATGGGGGGCAGGCAGCTGGAACTGGGGGAGGAGTTCCAGAGCCCCTGGAAGGAGCTGCCACCACACCAGGCAATTAGCTTGTGAAGGGCATTTGGGGAAAGAAACATGTCTGGG